AAAACGGAGACGTAACAGTACTATATGATCTAAAAAAATAAAAATTCAACATAAATGGTGGAAACAGAAAAGTTTTGTTGTAGATGAAGAAAGTAAAATTTAAAACATTACTAGTAATAACTTAAAAAACTAAAAATGTGTTATTAAATGTAATGACACTTGAGCCTGGATATACAAATGTAAGTAGCTACCAAACCAACTTTATCAATGAAAATTTTATATATATATATAACAACTTAATATTTAATTCAGAGTGTACACTATCTTGTAAATATTTTGAACCCACCTGACTTTTGATCTTGTCAACTTTACTAAAACATTTGTTCAGTGACAAGTTATGACGAACTGAATTCTTCCACCCAGTTTGAGCATTTCGAAAGTAAGGAAAGTGGTCTACGATCCAAGAGTAAATGTCCTTCACTGGAAGTGCTTTGACAGGAGAGTCCTCAATGGCCATAAAGATGAGACAACTAAAAGAGTATGGAGGTTTTGCATTAATATGAATATGAGGATTGTAGGGTTCACCAAAACTAGAAGCTTTGGTGGAGAACGAACATTCTGCTGATCCTTCCACTTCAATGTTTCCTTCTTCCTTTGCATTTAAAACGAAATCACTGGTTGTACTTGCATTTAAAATCTCCTTTACCTCACCACAAGTGTCCATATGGATGTTTTTTAATAAATTTGTGTCCTGTAACCACGTGAGGTTAGTCAACTCATCATCTTCGAAGCATTCTTTTTCACTTGGGCTATTGTTGTCAATAGTCTTATCATAGCCATTAGTCACTTCAATGATATTTGTAGTACCATCGTCAATGCTAAACATCAAAGGAGTGGAAACACCAATCTGACTGCAGACTTCAAAAGCCTGTCTGGTTGCCATGCTAAAAAATATCTTCCTTTTCTTCATCGGTGAATCTGAAATAGCCATATATGTATGAAGAAAAATTGCTTTCTATGAAATTTAGTTTGTTTTAATAATCCAAACAATGCTATATGCACAGCACAGAATGGTTGTTGTGTTTCAAAGTTAAAACAAAAGAATACAATATAAATATAGTACATTTAGTTATTTAGTGCTAAGAGTTGCTTCATAAAACAAAATTTAGGTTATATTTTTCTACCCATGAAACACTTAATTTAAACTGATAGTTGGGACATAGCTTGAGCTTGCACATTAACACAATGCTTCTATACCTACTCAATGATATTCAGGTTTGAATGCATATTATTTCATATGTAAAACATATGTAAAACGTTATTGTTTATAGAAAAATAAATA